AGTTCAGTATAATAGAAGCATAAAAATTAAGGAAGTCGTAAGCTTTTTTTATTGATAACAAATAATTAAGGAGAAGTAGAGAACTAGACGTATGCATAAAAAATCAAAGAATTTAGAGAAAAACTTAAAAAAACATTGAATTGTAAATAGTTTATTATCATTGAAAACTTTTTTACATGGGCTATGAAGACATTTTTATTTATTATTTTAGAGAATAATTTTTTAGTTTTAATAGAAAGATAATTGAATGAGCGAATTAATTGATTTGTGACTGACTTGATGCCATACTTGTGTGTTTTCAACCACTTTTTCTTGACTTTAGAAAGTTGGCATAAGCCAAATCAAACCACGCTTTAAATAGCAAATCAATATTTTGCTCTTTAAAATACATGCACTTGTAACAATTGTAACAAAAATGTTGGAGTTACATAGTAGAACTTTATTTAAGTGATGGGTAAGATTTTGAGACATAACTAGCAAAAAATTAATAAAATTTAAACTAAAACTGCTATAAATACTTAACCGGTTAACCAATCAGGCTAAAATTTTAATCAGAGTTTGGTGTGGCCATAGGCTATATAATTTTTATCAAATTGTATAGTGGTTCTCATTCTACAGGTGTTTTTATAAGCGCATAGAGTATTTTTAGGTCAGCTAGGGTGGCATTATAAGGATCTATGATAAAAAATTAATTATTGAATGACAAACATACTTTAGAGCGTTTTTGAAAATTAACAGGGTTAGTAGCCAAATATTTATATAAAATTCCCTGACTTTTTTGAAAAATCAGATGAATTTCCCTGACCATTTTCAACAATAGTTTTTTATAAAATGTTCAAAATTACTAACTACTGTAATTTGAATGAGAAAACTTATTAAACTAAGTTAAGTTGGATTTTAGTTTGAATCTTATTATAAATGTTAGTAAGATGTTAAGTATAGATCTTATTATTAAGGATGACTAAGAATGAACACTAAGAAAAGTATAAATTTCAGAAAAAATAAATGGGTAACACCAACAAAAACATAACAGCTTAATTGTAAAACAAGTAAATTCTCAATCAGAATTCCCTGACTTTTCCATGACTAAAGAAAAAAAAACATTGACTTTTCCAGGTTTTCCATAAATTTAGCCAAAATTAACTAATTTTCCAGGTTTTCCAGGTACAGTACGAACCCTGAATTAAGTAAATAATTTAAATTCGAGCTTTTGCACAACAAATTATTTTAAAAAGTTAACATGACTGTTTTTAAATATTAAATTGAAGTAATGAACATTTAAGTACCTCAAGTTGTAAACATAATAATACGTAATTTCTAAAAAGTTGTTTAAATATTAAAAACTGATGGCAGAAAAAAAAAAAAAAAATTAGATTTTATTTTCTTTTCTTAAAAAGATTTTCTTTTCTTAAAAAGTGCCTATAAGTTAAATAAAGAGCTTTATATGCTGATGTGCTATGTACTTGAGATGCCAATGCTTATAAATGATGTGCTGATCCAACAGTTTTATCAGCTCAGGCCATCGTTCCATTCCAGTCAAACCAATTAATTTGTTGGTCCATCATAAGGTAATTGACAATGTACAGCCTAATAAGTTTCAAACATTTATATCAAGCTCATTTCAGACAAGAATTGCTTAGTGATGAATAGGATCAATTTTGTTTACATTATATTCACATATGATATTATCAGTAGCATCATAGAAAACTGAGTACCAGTTGTACCCTTTTTAATACTCAATGCAAATACACCATAGAACATACTAACTTTTACAAAAAAAGTCAATAACTTCAGGTAAATCTGATTGGTTGTTAAGAGTATAATTTATGAATTTCAAAGAACGTTATAATTGTTAGTAGTTAATGCAAAAAAATCAACTTGTTAAAGAAACAAAGAAACAATGTTATTTTTTAATGGAAATCTCTTGAATAATGGCAAAACTAAATATATAAAGTTTCTGCCAGTTTTGCTATAGATACAATTATAAAATTATTGAGTTAGATATTTTGAACCAAAATTTAACAAAATTTTTGGTTCACAAACAATGTCAAACTGTGTATTTTAATAACTATATTTATATCTACAGCAAAACTGGCAAAACCTTTATATAAGGAAACAAAACATAAGAGATTTTCTCTAAAATAAATTAACTTTTTATGCATAACATATATTGTTCAACATACAACTTTTTTTAACACTGGTTTTGAAAATTATGCAAGTTGGTTTTGTAATTTATGATATCATTTTTGATAGTTGAATAAGTGTCAACTTTTTTCTTTACTAAGTTTACTTCATGCATTTATTGAGAATATGTCAATTATTTTTAATTTTTTTTCAAACCAAGTTTTACGTGGTTGTGGTATAGAGATAAAGATTCTGCTTCATAAATAAGTTTGATCCTTCCCATGCCTGTAGTAATACGGTGGTCAAATTGTTTCTTCTTAGAATAAAATAATAAAGTTTTAATTTTTATGTTTTTTTTTTGTTTACATGTTCTGAATAGATTAAAATGATATTTTTCAGATTGACCGATATTTAAAAAAATACAAATATAAACCAAAAATGTTTTTTTGAATGGGTCTTAGAGTTGTGATCATTTATGTAAAAACAACATTTATAAAAACAATAACAGTACCATAATTTATTTGAAACTTGACATTGATGTTAAGCATGACATTAGTGTTAAACATGATTTCCATCATTAATTGTTATCCTCATGTTACTTTTATATAGATTTTAATAGTGATTGGAGTACAAATACACCAAACGGGTCATACTTTATAATGAAAAATTATACATATATTGAAAAACCTTATATTATGTTCTGAAAAATGTGTACCATGCCTGTATTGCATTGAGTAGAGACTTAACTTGTCTGCTATGATTTCTTATTTGCTACCCAGGTATGTATAATGTGTAATTCACATGTTTTCAACAAATTTACCAAAAAATTTCATGGCAGGTTTTCATTTTGATAAAAGCAGCAAACTTCACTTTCAAGCTCATGCTGATAATTGTTGTTTGAAAACTAAAGAAAAATAAGTCATCAACCATTTAAAATTGTTGAATGAATTTATCCTTAAGAACTCCACCAATAGCATTTGGGGATATAAGAATTATAAGGAAAATGATACTTCTTCCTAATTGAATTAGAACATCTTATCAGAAGACTTGACCGACCAAAACTTTGAAATTAAAAAACAGAATACCGGTCTAAAACAGACTGATACCTAAAGCTGAACAAACCAAAACCTTAAGAGCTAAAATTTGAAAAGAGAATATATTTGTACTACATTTATTAAAAAATACTATACTATGCGAAATGCTTTGTAAATTATTATAAATTATAAACATATTGAATACTTAAATTATTAAATTTACTTATTACTTTTTTAAATAAAATAACAAATTAATTCTAATGATTGTTCACAATTAACCATTTTATTTCAATTATCAAAGAATATTATACGTAATTACATTTATATAAATATGTATTTTTTGATATAAATCTTTTCAAACTTTTTCTATGATAACTTTTATAAACACTTTTAATAGCGAAAAACTTTTAGTGTGAAAATAAACGTTGTGTAACAAAACTCAAATTTAATGGTGTAATAAAAAGTGCTGTTTTCTATAAGCATTAAAAAACTACTATGTTAAAACTTTTATAAAAAAAATTTAAAAGGGTTTTTTAAGCTAAAATATTTGTTTAAAATTTATAAAAGCCATCGGACAGAAAATAAAATAAATACTAAAATATAAATTTAAATTAATAATTAATTGCAACATTTTAACATAAATGATAAAAACTAAGCTGCTTAATTAAAAAAATAAATGCCAAGGCTTCTTTTAAAAAATGAATTAGCTCAAAAAAATGACGTATTTTATTAATGTAAGTGTGTTTTCAACTTCATTTTCTGTTGTTTATGAAAAATAAAAAATTTAAACAATAAAGTTTATATACAATACTGAATTTATTAATAATTTTGGAACAACTAAAATAATTATAAAATAAATGCACACAAAATATGGTTTGGACAAAATGCAAGACTGATGACAAAATGCAAGACTGGTTGGACAAGACTGATAGACGTCATTTTTTACCTGACAATGTTCGGTAATTCAGTATACTGAATTACCGAACATTGGACATTGTCTTGTCCAACCAGTCTTGCATTTTGTCATCAGTCTTGCATTTTGTCCAACCCATATTTTGTGTGCATTTATTTTATAGTTATTTTAGTTGTTCCAAAATTATTAATAAATTCAGTATTGTATATAAACTTTATTGTTTAAATTTTTTATTTTTTATAAACAACAGAAAATGAAGTTGAAAACACACTTACGTTAATAAAATACGTCATTTTTTTGAGCTAACTCAGTTTTTAGGTACTGAAATACCGGAAAATGTCCAATGTCCGGTATTTCAGTATCTAAAGAGCTTTTGCTGCTCTTTAGATACTGAAATTTTCATTTTTATTTTCCTGAATATTTCATTAATTTTTTTAAACGCATTTCACATGTATTCTTTATGTATATATCTTTATATAAAATAAAAAAGTTTCCATATTTGTAAATAAATAAAAATAACCATCAATTCAGACTATATTCTCTTACTTTTACAAACTGAATAATAAAAATAGAACTTACAGATAAAAAGAATACATTACTTATCCATAGTCATTACTGGGCAACATCTAAATGCTATCTATAATTAATTTTTTACCTGAAGTACATTGTAAATTTGAATAATAAGTTATTAAAAGTTTTCATGAATACATAGAGTATATTCATGAAAACTTTTAAACAATATTCTTAAGTACTCATACATGAGTACTTAATAATATTGAGTTATAAAAATACAATTGTAATAAGTTTTACATTATTTATGCCAAAAAAGTACACCCAAACACCCAAAAATTGTAAATTGTATGTATGGTATCTATGCCAAAAAATTAACAGAACACATTTTATATTAAAAAAAAAACTAATTTTCATACTTTATTGTAATAACAGGAGTAGCACCCTCTTCACTTTTTAGCTGTAGTAGTATCTCCAAGATTGTCTGTGACCAATAGCTGCGATAGGATAACAAACCTAAATCTGAAAGTGGCTTTTCAGGGTGTCCAGACTTCCCTTCAAACTTTGAAAGCTCATAACCTAATACAAATTGTAACCTATAATAACCTAATACAAATTTTTCATGTATAATTAAACTAATAAAATGTTTTGAGATCCTAAAATTTTGTAAACTTAACATACTGAACTTTTGAGATCCTGAAATTTTGTAAACATACATATATAAAATTTTGTAAACATACTGAACTCTATGAGCAATTTTCCTAAACCATTTCGTTGGTATTGTGGTAGCGTTAATATACAAGCAACATTATAGTCTTCACTTGACTCCTTTTCCTAAAATTGAAAAAACATTGTATTGATAAAAAACATTTTTCCTATAGTATAATATAATAAATCAAAGTATTAAACAAAAAACCTTTGAAAAGTAACCAACAATGTGAAAACCTTCACTGTCGAATTCTGTCATAACATAAAACAGAAAGGGGTCTGTATCATAGTATAATGTCTTGTGATCAAGAAACAGTTTTGCTAGTAAACATAGGTTTTGTGAATAAGCCTGTGAAAAATTGTTTTATTAAATTAATATTTTTAAAATGTAACAAAAAACATTAAACATCTACTTTATTATAATAATTACAAACCAACTGTTTCAAAAATCAAACTTCATTGTATTAAATAGCAAATCAACTTCTTGAAAAATTCATTGTAATGACTAATGTATTTATTAATCTATCAAAATTATAGATTCACAAATTAATAATCAATTATAACAATGACCAGTGAATTTATTTAAGTACTTTGTGTTTTCTTCCATCAATCTCAAAAAAAGATGTATTATCTTTACGGTATATTTCATTTCCAGGAGGGTGAAAAAGAGTGCATTTTTCCTAAAGCAAACATATATATATATATATATATATATATATATATATATATATATATATATATATATATATATATATATATATATATATATATACACAACCCTCGGATATTAGAGTCGGCATTTGGCAATGTTGACCTAACTGCCAACCTAAAAGTGTTTAAGGTCAGCAAAAAAATGCCGACCTCGTTTCTATGTTTTTTGGTCAGACCTTTGTATCAAATAATTTTTGCTGACCTGATGCTGACCTCAAAAAGATTGAGGTAGGCAAATTATTGCCAACCTCATTTTTCCTAATTCCGAGGGTTGTATATATACATATATATATATATATATATATATATATATATATATATATATATATATATATATATATATATATATATATATATATATATATATATATATATATATATATATATACATATACAGTCAAATCTAACAAGAAATAAAACTATTTCATTAAATGCATAAAAGCATTGAAATACATACCCTATGTCTTCTAAGACATGTTAAACTTTTCATATACTTTAGACAAAATTCACATATATAAATACACGGTAGACGAGTTAATTCAATTGGATAAGGAGCAAAGTACCAGGGTTTGATTCTATGTTTACCAACCTCTATCATCTCAACATTTTTTACTCGTGTTATAACATCATCATGGTGTACTGTCATACTTCCTCCGCTACGAAGGCTGCTTGTTTTATTTTCTGAGTTTTTTGAATATGAACTCTCATTTTCAAACTAAAAAAAAAAAAAAAAAATCTTTAATAATATTAAACATAAACGCTTAACCATTTTAAAACTACATTTAAAAATAAGTATTAAATTATACATTAACTTCATCTTGAACAGCCTTTCTCTTTCTACCAAAAGAACTATTTGATTTATTTCGCACAAGGGAAGATGATGGAAACTGAGTTAGGTTAATTCCATTTACTTGCTCAAGGTCAGGTGATCCAGGTAAGCTTATTTGGTTCGGATTTTGTTTTGATGAATTTTGATTTTGTTTTGATGACACAGACTGTTGTGATAAAGTTTTTTTTTTCTCTTCTGTTTTTGGAGGTTGTATTTTTGTCAGATCGAGACGATCAATACTAACCCATTCATCAAGACGTTTGTTATCTTTTATATAAAAAAATATAACATTATTAATTGCTAATTGTTAATAAAAGAAAACAATACTCATATTTCATATTGTACAAAAAAATATACTGCAGTTGTTGAGTTGTGATTTACAACGCAAAAAAATACAATGTGGTTAAATACAAAGCAAAAATAGAGTAAAAAAGGGACTTAAAAAAGGACTTAAAAAGAACTTAATATACTGCAAATTATGGGTTGGAAAATATGAAAGTTGAAGAGAAATCTAAAACATTGATGTGATAGAGAAACAAAAGATGAATAAAAGGTTTGAGCATGAGAAAACAGTTACAAGGGTATAAGGATATAACTTGAACGACAAGTCATGTAGTGTCAATTGAGTTTTATTGATGGAACAAGTCAAATGAGTGTTAACTGATGAAACAAGTGATAACTGCTTGCTTGAGAAGTAACCATAGGAGTTTTTCTGGAAAAGAAAAAGAGATGCAATCTTAAAACAATGAGAGAGATGCTCAAGCTTAGCTTCTAGAGCAGGAGCAACTACATTAATGTATAATGGGTTTTTAGATCTTGTCTAATTGAAAAAAGGCATCATTAGAAAAACCAATTCATATATGAAAACATATATAAAAATATATGAATCATATATGAAAGATCATATATGAAATCAAACATATATGAAAACAATATTTTACACAAATACAAATTAAAAATATATTTAGAGGTAGTGAATGAAATCAAGCATAAAAAAACTGGTAAGCACAATAAGAAAATGTGATCTTAACCTATTGATTGTATATATGGTATCCATGAAAGGTTAGTAGTGTAAGATAATATGAGAAGTCATAAAGTAAAGGATTCAGTAAGAGTGCTGCCACTTTATTAATTAGTAATGAGGTAAAATTCAAGTTTTTGTTGTGTCTCTTTTTCATGTTTATAATACTATTACACAGAGATTTGCATGACTCCAAATCTCTGTGTAATAAGTAAAAAATTCTACCCATTTCATCTAGCCTAGAAAAAATTTCACCCATTTCATCTAGCCTAAAAAAAATTCCACCCATTTCATCTAGCCTTTAAACCAAAAACATTTTAATGCAAGCATAGATTTTTGAATTTGTTTTGTTCTTGTAACTTATGTTGTTTATTAAGAACAAACAATAACTTAAAAGATAACATAAGAAAACATTGTAAAAGACAAAAATAGGCAGCATAGTGAAAGATAACAATAGACATTGATGTAAAAATTACTTTTATTTGAACAACTTCCCTGCAATCAAAAAAAAAATACAAACAAAAAAAAATTAGAAAAAAATAATAAGTGTAATAAAAACATTTTATTTGATAAAAATACACAGTTGTTATTATAAAATAATTTTTATGTTTCACTTACAAAACTTAATGATCAAGTAGTTTACTTTTTTAATAGACCAGGGGAGTATCTGGCTTTAACTTTTAGGCATCAATCTGTTAACTTTTAGGTTTCAAACAGTTATTTTATTTCTTTAATTAGTTATTTTATTAATTTGTTACAAAAACATAATAAGGAATTAAAACTAATTCAATATAGTTTTTATTAAAAAAACTCAATGTGCTTAAATGTAATATTTTTATATTATAACATAATAATGAGATTTAAGTATTATTACATCATTTTATTTATATGTGACACCTGGCCATGTTAATTCCATTATGCAAAGTTTAGGTGATTTTATTTTGCTTTGAGATATTTTTAACAAGTGGAACAAAGTTTATCAATTGTTGTTACCATTTTCTGCATGAAAAAATTAAGATAACAATATATATATATATATATATATATATATATATATATATATATATATATATATATATATATATATATATATATATATATATATATATATATATATATATATATATATATATATAGAAAAAAAGAGACCTTAGAAATTATTTCAGAATACCCGAACAGAAAAATTATGAAAACCCTTGAGGTCATTACAACCAATTTTCTTTTTAAATGCAACCCTATGTTCTTGTAATTTCTTTCTTTTTTAACCCAAGTACATTATAAAATTTCAAGGTCTTACTCACAGCATTTCCTAAAATATCTAAGTTACTTATTTTTAGCTTTCAGTCTTAAAAACATTGAAAGCTAAAAATAAGTAACTTAGTTAATCTTCAGGTGATGAGTTTAAATGCATAAATAGAAAACTCATATTATAATTAGAGTACCAAGAAATCAATTTCAAATAATAAAATAATTGGTACCTGCCCCAGAAAAAAGTTGGGAGGTGCGGTAAATATTTTTAAATTTTAAATTAGATTTGTATATGTTTGAATAACTACATGAAAAAAAATCTTATCTACAAAATATGTGGTATTATAAATTTTTTACTTTAGTACTATAATTATATATTATTTATTACATATATATATATATATATATATATATATATATATATATATATATATATATATATATATATATATATACATATATATATATATATATATATATATATATATATATATATATATATATATATATATATATATATATACATACAGGGCCGGCGCTATACATTCCAAAGGTGGGTGAAAAAAATAGTTTGGAGCCTTAATATAATAAATTTTAAATTTTGTAATGTATTTTAGTACAAATTTTTTGAATGTAATTTATCTTGAAAATAGAATATTTTAAAAACAATACTTCTAAACAACTTCAATGATCGGTTAGCAGGAAAATGCACATACATGATCAGGGCCGCTGAGAGCTTACATGACGCCCGGGACATAGCAGCAATTAGGCGCATATAATATAATAATGCATTTTTTTAAATTAAAAGCATGTAAAAAATAATGACTATTTTATTTCACTAAAAGACATTTTTTTTTGCTTTTTGACTGGCAAAAATTGTTATTATTACTTTAATCTTTACAGGTTCTTGATCTTTTTAACCAGATGAATGAGAATCTTAATGAAAGTTTTTATAATCTCAATTTTAAAATTGAATTTACGAATAGCAATAGAATTATTTTGAAAATTTTCACTTTAAGCTTATGTTTGTGGAACTTATGGAAAAAAAAACGCATGTCCAGGTTCATTGCGATTTTTATAACATCATTCGCTTTGCAAAAAATTCTACTTCATCACCAAGACAAGTCGTCTCCTCATCATGAATCAATATTTTGGTTGAAGCTAAAGCAACAGATTTAGAGCAGCAATAATTTTCCATGGTCATTTTGTAATTAGTTTTATATATATATATATATATATATATATATATATATACATATATATATATATATATATACATATATATATATATATATATATATATATATATATATATATATATATATATATATATATATATATATATATATATATATATATATATATATATATGTATATATATATATATATATGTATATATATATATATATATGTATATATATACATATATTTATATATATATATATATATATATATATATATATATATATATATATATATATATATATATATATATATATATATATATATATATATATATATATATATATATATATATATATAGTTTTGCAGAAAAAACTATACTTTTGTGAGAGTCGTAAATTGCTCCCGTAAACTGTTTTAGGGATTTGCAAAAGGTGCCAAGGCCTGTGTAAATATATTATATAAATTTTATTATTTATAAAAAAACTTTTAGAAAAAAATGTTTAGAAAAAACCAGAACATATTTTATTTTGAGTTCATTAATTTGTTTAAACTTTTTGTTATTGTATTTTTAACAAATTTTTTAAATAAAAATTTACTGTTTTGTTAATTATTTTTTTAATTATTGGTATGTATGCCAACAATAAAATTAAAATGAGAAATTTAAACAAATAAAATTTATTGGTTCATTTTTTATTAATAAAAATGAGAAACATTATTCTATATTTTATTTCAGCAGATTGTCAACTGTCTGAACCAAATAGAGTCTGATTACAAAATTAGAGTTATCAGAAATAAAAAAGCCAAATGCACATGTATTTGGTCATGATTCCTTGTCTGACTTATCCAAAAATCAGACAAAGAAACTCAGACATGAAAAATGACAAATGTTGTGATGTTTATAAAGTGCATAAAAAAAATTAAAAGGTAAATTATTTTTTAATATATACAATTACTATCTGTAAAACAATCCAACACATATCTTATTAACAAATTTCTTAAACACGTGCTTTTATTTTTAGATAAATTAGATTAGATAATTTAAATTACTTTATAGGTTTACAATATCTATAATATTACCAAGATATTTAGAGTCATTAGGGATAAGAGTTTTACCTGGGTGGAAATTATGTAGTAGCTGTAAGTCAAATGCATATGTACCAGGAGAATACCCCAGTGAAAATGAAGCAGATGATGTATTGACACAAGAAGTTGAACTATTTACTCACATTAATTTATCCCTAGAAAGTTTAGGAGAACCTTTTATTAATTTAGATAATGTTGCTTTGCCTCAACAACAAAAAAATCAATAAAAAAAGATAAGTGAAGATTTAGCAGAGCTTTATTAAATAAGTAACTCACATGTTATAGATAATACTAGTGCATCTTATTCAAAAACAGAGCAAAATAAAGCATCCAATCTGGATACATTAACACTATTGATAAAAAAAAAAGATAAATGGTTCTGACAAAAAAAATTACAAATTCTCACTTTAACTCCTGAAGCTTGGTCTATAGAGCTTCTAACTAATTTGATGTTAGTATAAATGCTATTCAAAATCCAGGCAGGGCCTATTCTAGGAAAAAAAATTTGGACGGCAACACCCTCCCTTTTTGGTGGATTTTAGTAGCAAATTTGCGTTTTTTCGTGATACTTGCCGTAAAAAAAAAAGCAAAAAAAACACAAAAAAAAAGGTCCTCGAATTTTAATTTGGGCAGCATCCAAATTGGCGCCTAAATACAGTTGATGCTGTCGAAAAGGGACTAGAATAGCCCCTGCCAGGTCAAATGAAATGCAAGTGGCATACTTTCACTCCGATTGTACAAAAATGGAAAAAGTATTCAACCCAACATTGTTTGCATTGTTCAAAGTTTTTATGAAGACAACAAATACACTCAAACAATGGTGGTAAAAATGATTAAGAGTTGGTAAAGAAAGAAATAACAAAATACATGTTCAAAATGAAAGAAAAAAAAAGAAAAGTATATACAAAAAGATTGCTATTGCATAACCTGAAAAAACTGTATATTCAATTCAAAATTGTAAATCAAAATTGTAAAAAGTAATTATATATATTATGCATCTGCAGCGCGTTAAAAATTTTAAAATTGTAAATCCTGGGATTATTGTTGGAACAGTCTGCATTCTATATGGTGTGTAAGTGTTGGAGCCTCAGGTACTCACTCAGTGTGTTTATGTGTTTACCATCAAAATGCTGTACTCCTTTTGTATGGGATATAACTTATAAATGTATAATAGAAAAGGTCTTAAGTTGGGGAGTCTAAAAACTTTATATTTTATCAGTTTCTCTGGAAAATAAGTTTGATATTATTATTACTTTTAAGATTATAACATGAAATTGAATTAAAATTAAATTGTTTTTTAGATGATTTGTGATATTTCAAAAAATGAGTGTATAGTTCATAGAGTTTGAGTAGCCCAGGAACAGATGCCCTACAGCTATTTCTTCTTAAACAATTTGAATAACTAGATTTTGATGATGAGTTAAATTTTAACCAGTAGCAAGTTTGTTATGTTTGAGTTTTCAAGTGTGATAGATTCAGAAAATTTTACCTTTAATCATCAAATTGTATTCCTTTTCTGATGGATGTGGAGAGCAGTATTTAAAATTTAAAAATTTTCTAAATCTATCACTCAGAAGATTTTGAATTGGAATGATATTTTGAATGCTGAATGAATATTTTTTGCCACCAGTCATGGCTGAATGGATATTTTTTGCAACCAGTCATGGCAAATCTTCTTGTGATGCAATAGGTGGTACAGTAAAATAGACAACAACAAGAAAATGTTTGCAACGCTCAAAAGAAAATCCAATTATACAGTTAATACAATCTTTGAATTTTGCACCCAAAAAATTAAAACAATAAAATTCTTTAAAATTGATAAAGAATCCAAGGTTTATGTCAGAGCTGCACAAAATAAAATTATATATAAATTTAAGAATACATACTTTTATTTATTATTTTGAATAATAAGAAAATTGTTATACTTTTTTTTGATTAAAACACTCCATTTTACTTTTAAACTATAAATTTTGCAGAAGGAATTTTTAATGTCATTTTGTACTCAAAACATTTAAATACATAATTTAAAGTTTTAACTTAAAAATATTCAAAACTAACATATTTTAGGAACCCCTGAGAGTAAGACCTTGAAATTTAGGAATTAGTTATACTTTATAATGTACAATGGTTAAAATATGAAGAAATTACAAGAACATAGGGTGACATTAAAAAGAAATTTTGGTTGTTTTAACATTTTTAGCCCTAAAACCTAGGAATGGTTAAGAGTTAGACCTTAAGTTCTATATCTTATATATTTGTCAATTCTGATTGATTGCTCGATTGTTTGTTCCCAGTTAACAGCCAGACCGTTGGTCCTAGAAACTTGAAATTTGGCATGGATGATCCCCATGACCAAGGAAATGACATAGGCTATGTCAAGTTGACCTCGGAGGTCACTGGAGGCTACCTAGAGTCGCAGGGGCTTTCAAATTGTCATTTCTAGGTCAGGCGAGAGGAGTGTTTAGAGAGTGTTTCTTGTGAAGTGCAGAGTTGTTCCTTGCCCTCGGGGTGGGATGCGGATAACCTCGGGGTTGTTGGAAGTCGGAATGGTCTGGGGAAAGGGTTAAGGGTTTCCTATGATGTGATTTTCATCAGTTTCTGTTGCGTTTCATGGATTGTTGTTACCTATTTTGTCATTTTCCAGAATTTTTTGGAATGTTCCACATTTTTCTGGAGTGGGCTAGAATTTTCCAGAGTGGTCCAGAGTTTTCCAGAATGTTGAATATATATATATATATATATATATATATATATATATATATATATATATATATATATATATATATATATATATATATATATATATATATATATATACACACACAAGAACAATTTGAAGTGTATTAAACAAAATAGAGTACTCAATGTTCTTAAAAGTACAGAGCAATATAATGTGTATATATATATATATATATATATATATATATATATATATATATATATATATATATATATATATATATACATATATATATATATATATATATATATATATATATATATATATATATATATATATATATATATATATATATATATATATATATATATATATATATGTTTACATATATAGGTCGGCATTGCTGAATGCCAACCCTAATTCCGAGAGCTATATATATATAAATATATATATATATATATATATATATATATATATATATATATATATATATATATATATATATATATATATATATATATATATATATATATATGTTTACATATATAGGTCGGCATTGCTGAATGCCAACCCTAATTCCGAGAGCTATATATATATATATATATATATATATATATATATATATATATATATATATATATATATATATATATATATATATATATATATATATATATATATATATATATATATATATATATATATATATATATATATATATATATATATATATATATATATATAATATATATATATATACAAATTTCTTATTATTCTAGGAACTAAACATAGAAATAAAATTAAATAAGAAAAAAATCAACAACGAGCAAAGCAACTAAAAGTCTAATAGAATATTTTGATATAGATGAAAATAAACAATCAAGGCAGTTTTTTTTTTTTTTACATTTTACATTACATTTATATTTCCTCATTTTAAACTTATCTCTTTGTATAGTTTGGATATAAAACTCATTCATTTGCTTTCCTAAATTATAAAAAGATACTAAATGCAGGAAGCTCCTGATGAAAAACAGTTTAAAAAGTATTTAAAGATTTAGTGGTTGCAGATATGTCTACACAATAACTTAAGCTTATACATGCATTTTCATTTATGGAATAATTATACCTTTGCATATACATTTGATATACAGTGATAATGATAATAATAATATAAACAGTAATTTTAATAAGAACGCTAATAAACAAACATACAATCAATGTAGTGAACATAAAATTCAAAAACTCCATCTTGATTTTCCTTTTTACTAACCACTTCTGCCAATGCTAAAAAAAAAAAGAATTTCAATATCAAAAAAACAAACATTTTTTTGTGGATAAGTTTAACATTTGTGTAATTAAACAATTCTTAATAGTATCTACAGTATTTCAGCATAATAACTTTAATTTCAGCATAATAACTAACAAACTAACGCTGAAAAAAAAAAAATTAGAAATGTTAAAATATTATACTATCTTTATTTTGATTGTAAGGTTAGCAATTAGGATTAGCCTTGGGGTATCCTCATATTAACCACGTAAAATGTTCTAGTTCCTTGTTTAAATGACTCAATCAATTCAGTCCAAGATTGTCACTTTGTGTGTGGATAGTATGGTATTGCAAGAGTAACATGATCACAAGTATAACAAAAACAGGCACAGTATTGAATGTACTATCAGCAAATTGCTCTGTTTTTGACTGCAAGCAAACAATGGAGCTTTAATTGAAAAAGGAAACTTTATTATTACAAATACATTAACAGTTTATTCAATACTTGTGGTTTTCAGGCAGAGAACTGGAGGCTCTTTTCTCTCAATAATACCAGAGATGTTTTGCAGCACAATTAAATCTTATTTTCATCTTTACAAGTTGCATATTCTACATCAATTGAAGCCTATGCAAAGCTGACTAAATTCTGCATTGTATTAATTATACCATTCACTTGAGTTTTGTATTGCTACTAGGCTTCAGAGTAAATAAAGAATTTATTATAACTTTGGGAAAGTCAAGCATGTTCAAAACACTATAGTCATAAACATTGGCCTACTAGAGCACAGCCTGGTATAAACAATCTTAATAACTTCACTTTGATCAACAAAGACAAAACCATTTTGCTGACACATTATATCAAGTTGAGCCTAATAAAACAGTATGTAAATGCAATAGATCATGATCTTTTGGCCTTTAATTAAATTCCCAAAAAGTTTCCTATCCTAAGTAGATAACAAACAAGATAGGACTTTAAACATGCCAACTTCTTTTTTCTGACAACTTTAAAACTTGTAAATAATGAAGAACTAGCAGCATGAAACGTTTTAGTACTAATTACCTATGCTTTGGTTTTCTTGTAGTACAAAAGCACCGAACTGCACCTTGAAAATGTAGTTTGACATTGTGAAAATAAAAATACCAAATGAAAATACCAATAAACAAGTTTTCCCACAATACTCAGTTTTATAAGAAATATTTATTTGTATGTGAATTTTAAGAGAACTAACATCTAACAAAATTATTTTGAAATTTGCTTTATTTTTTTAAATAACTATAAAATAATTTATAAAAATTATTTAAAGTAATAATTTCTCAAAAGAGAGACTAGTCACTAGCAATAAAAACCAAAAGAGAATCACTAGCAATAAAAATTAAAAGTTTTTTATATTGATAATTTTTTTAAAGTCTTTTTTGTAATTTTTTTAAAGGCCTAAATATTTGTTAATTATAACCAAGTTTGATACAAAAACTTAGTTAATAAGTTACACAAATCTACAGCAGCGAATTTGTGTAACTTGTATAACAAAAAATCAAGTCTTAGTATAATGAAAAAAACCGGTTTTTTTATTATACTAAGACTTGATTTTTTTAGAAAAAAAGAATTTCCATGTGCATCATTAATTGTTTTTTAATAATTATTTTTCATGGGGATCTTAATAATATTTTCTATTTTGTTAATTTTGTTTGACTAAGTTAAAATAAATTTTTTTTTTAAAGAAAAACAAAAGAGATTGTGTTATTAATAATTCAACTGCTGTAAAAAAAAAAGTACTTTAAAATGCAGCAACAATATTTTAAAAAAAAACTGCAGTCATACTTCGAAATATTAAATCGCATATCGGCTTCTTTTTATTAAGTTTGGTAAAATTATATAACACACCGTAGCGTACTCATTATTTAACAAAGTGTTTACTTTAAATGCTTTTTAAAGTTTTCTTTAAAAAGCATTTAAAGTAAAGCATTTTAAGCAATTTAAAGTAAATTTTATTCCTTACTTTTCGCAAGGAATAAAATCTTCATAGATCAAAATATGGTTTTAATAATAAACACACTTGTGTAAGTAACAAACTGTCTGGTCGCCCTGCCGGACTACTGACAGGGAATTTAAAAAAAAATTTTTTTTTGTATGTCAGCCACTTTTATGTAGCATTTATTGTAAATGATGAGCTCTAATAACTCCAATGACTGAAAGATTTCCAGTTGTTGTTTAAAGTTATCAACTGATGTTGCCTCGATGACATTATCTAGGAAAGCATTCCAGTCATTGACTACACGGTTGTTGAAAAACTCTTTTGAAAAATAAACTTACATAAAGACTACAAAACTCATGAGAGTTTTGTAGTCTTTATGTAAGGGTATTTTATGCCAGCATCTAAATAAATAGCAAACATATATGTTTTTACCCATATTATGAATGCATAAATGTACATTTTAAAAGCTTTTATTTCTTTTTGAATAAAAGTTTGGAAGCTTTTATTCTTTCTCTTCGATTTTAAGTCAAATCTTATTCTATTCCACATTTTTCACCATCTTGAGCTTTATTAAACTATAATCATTTTTTTTCATCAACATCTTTTTTAAGAATATATTTCCCTTTATTATTGCAAGAAGCCAAAGTAAAAAGGTCCTGTCTGATGTTAAGCACTGCTATTTTGAGTTTACTAAATCTTGTATCTTATCTCAGATGCTAGGTTCTAGAGACTTTTGGAAAGTCTTCAACAGTGTCATTAACTAAAGTAAGTCTAACATTTAATCTCTAATTCATGGGTCTGATCTTTTTACTTCTCCCTAGAATAGGACTGAGTTAATTGGAAAGAATTTTTCCTCTTACTTGACTCTTGAATCCAATGGTTATATTCTTACTGTCATTCTAGCTAAACAGATTAACCCATTGTTAAACATCCAAAACACTCTGGTTTCCAATGCTAAAGTTAATTCTCAAACTCTTCCACAGTTTGTGGTCCAGACACAATTTCCACCATTGTCTTGAAAAAGTGTTCTCTAGAACTCTTCTTAATTTTTGCCAAACTAAAAGTGCTAAATAAGTTTATTATATAAGGTTTTTTATATTTACTATAAAAAATTAATAAAAGGCTAAATAAGGTTCCAACTTTTCAAAACTCTAGAAAACACTTTGACCACTCCAACTATCCTATGATTAGTCTTCACTCTGTTATTAGTTTCTTTATATAAAGGTTTTGAGATTATTAAATAATTTCTTTCTAACTGCAGTATTAAAGTTATTCTTGAAAGCCTACACTCTTCATTTCAAGTAACTTTAAGGGTAATGCAAGGTTCTATCTTTGCTCATGACATTTTAGATGTAAAAGTGTCATGATAACAATCTTCATGACAATTTTACATCTAAAATAGCTCTATTTTCTGATGACTACATTTTATACTCTTGTCTTGACAAAAAGTCTTCACTTATTGGTTGTTAATAACAAGCAGCCAATTTTTAAGCTTACCTTTCTTTTGTAACAGTCTAAGGCTTGCAGTGGCTTGTGAATTTTAAGCATAGACTTGAAACCTGAAATTTTTGTTGCACAACTAAATTCATTTACTGCAAACAAATATTGCAATACTGTTGACATTCCTATATTGACAAATAACAACCCTCTTACTCTCAGATAAAGTTTTAAAAGCACATTGTTAAATATAATTCGACCTGCTTTATCTGCCAAGCTTGAGCCACTCTCTGATTGTCATAAGGTTGCATTTCTTTCTTTTTCTACAAATACTATCATGGTCAGTGCTCAAACGAGCTATCATCTTTAGATCGATAAACCAAAATTCATTCTTGCTTGCCTTCTTGCTTCTTATTCAGCAAGTCGCATCCTTTTACATCTTTTTAGTTTTTTTCCTTGCACATTAACAAAAACCTCAAAACTCTTACTCATCTTCATGTTTTCCTGACTTATACAACCTGCAACTTTTTAAGTCTTCAGTTAACTGTTTCCTAGCTCTTTAACCCTACCTTCTATTTTAAAGTAACTCAGCTGGGGCCCTGGTCACTTACTAGTTTTGGAATAACTTAGCAACAAGATGGGAACAAAAAAGATAAGACATTTTTCTTGAAAGGAATTTCCTTTCAGACAAAAACTTCATGGTGGAGAGTTTGAAGGAAACCAGTGTAAAAGATTGATGAGATTAATAAATAAACTCAGGCTTTGTTTTAAAGCGTTACACCTAGAGCGATTTACGTATGCCTTAAGTAATTTTTACGTACACGTAGAGCTGTTTTGGTTAAGCTACTTTTTATCATTTTTTAACTTTTAAATTAGCGGTAACATTAAAGAAGTAATTAATTTTAAAAAAAACCACATTAACTTTTAAATAACGATATGTAAAGATATTTATTAAAATAAAGAATTTACTTTAAAAATAATTGTTGTAACTTTTCATTGTGATATATCTTTCCTTTTTATAGCAATTAATTTGACGCTAAACTTTTTATCCAAATATTTAGCAACATGAAAAATTGTTTGTCAATCCTTAACTACAAATTTTTTGCAATGTTTTTAATAAAAAGTAGTAATTTTTTAAAGTTTTCAGTAAAAAACTTTAAAAAAATCTATATTCTATATTTATTAATACAGAATATAAATGTTTTTTGTAATATAGATTTTTTAAGAATTTCTTACTGAATTTATAATATAAAACATTTGCAAAAAAATTTGTAATT